TTTTGAGTCGTCGCATTCGTAAGTGGCGCTCAGCTATGACCTAAAGCCGGTGATTATCTTTGAATTCGCTCGCGGTGAATATGCAGTTTTACTACAATTAGCGGTGCGTGGAGTATCAGCTGAGTTATATTTTAAGAAAATTATACTAGAATTCTTTCTTAAACTATATATAATGTAATACGAATTCTCGTGCGATTTTAATTTTGTGTGTGACAATTTAAAAAAAAAGATTTGGTGATGTGTGAAGATAGCGGCGCTTCTACACTGTATGAGTTTAATTTTAAAAGATATATATTTTTTAATAATCACGTGGTCTACTAGAAGTTATACATGTGTACATATGTTATAATTTATACATTTAATGTGCGTACAATTTTTTTTATGAAGTATAATAAATTAAGAAAAGTGATGGTTTTTGAATCTTTCTTATATTATATTTGTTGTTAGTCCGTGACGTTAAAGAATTGAATGTACATACATACATAAACATAAAATATGTGGGTGTCAACTACTGCGAATTTTTGATGAAACTATTTTCTTTATAGAAATATTTGCCACTATATAATCGAGGAAACCAAAAAAAAAAGAAATATTTTGGTGATAATAAAAACCAAAAAATATACATACATATAAATCTGCCACATTGTCCAAAAGTTTCCACCCCAACAATAATTTTTGGGAACAAAATGTATATAAGTTGCTCGTAATGAGGTCTGTCAACTGAAACCTTTATTTTTGATCAGACCACATAACTGTGTAATCAATTAAGCAAATTTGAATAATATAATTGTGAAAAAAAGCGTTTAAAAGTAAACTGATGCTTCTAAACTTCTATTAAATACGTATTTGAGTATAGAAAAACAATTTAATATTAAAAAAAAACGTATTCTTTTATCTTTACATAAAAAGAGCTCTCAATTGTTGTCATAATAGCAAAAAGTCTACTAACTACGATTTTCTAGATAATATAACTGTAAAGGTAAAAGTTAAAATTTCAAGTCAACAGCATATGTAATACCCTCTGTATACCAACGTCGCTGGATTTGAAAAATGCAGTTTCAAGAACAAAGCGTTTTTTCACCATTCTACCAATTGAAAAAGGTTTTTAGTACCTAAAGTGTATTTGAAGTAAAAACAAATACATTTTTCGAAAACCCTAGACTGCCCTAGCCTTTTAAATGAATCACAATAACATGGATAATCGTTACTAGGTGCTTGGTTCTAAACAACCAACATTCCATTTTTGAGTAATCATTCATATTCTAAGAGCAATGTGTTCGATTAAGTTCTAGGATTTGAAAAAACTCGGTCCACGGAGATACCAAACGTCGTTCGTGATATTCTCCGAAAGTTTGTCGGTTATAAGTTGCAATAATATTCAGATAGTTACATCAGATATGACATAATCGTATAGACTTGTCGAATGTTTTTGGAATAATTGCTAACTAACAGTATTTTTGAACATTCATAAATCGAATTGCTGGGTCATCTGCTTCACAGCTTTGATTTAGCTTGAACAACTTGTAAACTTCGCAGATGCGAACAACGTAATTTTCGGTTGTATAAAACCTTACATAAAAATTTGAAGTCAGTTCAAAATGTGTAAACAAATAGGTGGATTACATTAATTTACAACTAAAAAAGTCGACTAGTCGTTTTCGAAATATAACTACATAACATTTTCTAGACGTTTTTTCGAAGAAATTCCCAAAATATCGTTTATCGGTTAAATAAATTTTTCATTTCAAATCGGCACCCGAAATTTAGATGTTAACTGCCAAATGACTGCCACCATGAAACATGGTATTACGAATGATAGTCACGAAGGATTGTTGCGAATTTTTTTTTCAAAAATTCGGGATTAAAAATTGAAAAAATTTTAATTTTTAATTCAGATTCTAGCTTGAAATTTTCAAATTTTCAATTAAGATGTTTGGCAGAAAAGGAGAAAAAAGAAAGATTTACATATTTCTTGCTGCAATACTTTAATTAATAGCAATTAAATGTAAATAAGACAAAGAGTGCGAAATCGTGTTGATATTTTATTAAAAATGAGCTTTTCTTTTCGAAAGATAACCAAAATGGTAGAACACGAATTATATATATTTATACTTTTTTAATCCGGTATTTGTATTAAAAATTTATTATTTATTACATTTATTTTTAATTTTTTAATCCATTATTTGGGATTAGAAATTTTAAAATTATTTTTGATAAAGATTTTTGGCCTTCGCCTTTATTGCACAAAATATTACAATTAGTTGCTGCACTTTCATTCACGAACACCAGTTTTTCGTTAATAGCACATTCTGCGTTCAAAAGGGAAAATGAAAATTACATTTTATTACTGCGGTTTTGTTGTTACACGTATACAAAATTAATTTTCATTTGCTTATTATTGCATGCATATTTTTACCTAGAAGACACACTCGATAGTGTAAACAACGAAAATAATAATAATATTTTCCTCAAAGTTCATGTAACAGATGCCAAAAACGAAAAATTTAAAACCACATACCTAACCCTGCCACCCCTTAAAAAGTACCAAGGAAGTAATTTGTTTGTTTATTCAGAAACAAAAAAAAAATTAAAAATTGAAAGAAATTCTAATGAAAAAGTTATAAAATTTTGCATTGAACCATGCTCTGTGTTATTACTTTTCTTGCTTTATTGTTGTGCCACCCATTAAAGTCATCATAATAATTAACATCATTATTAGCTGAAATAAGTAGGTGTATTTATACGAATTTCCAAACGTGTGATCACAATATACATGTGAAACCGCCTAACTTGATTTTGATAAATTCTTTAGAGTGAATTTAAGGGTTGCATTGTTTGCTTAAAATTAAAAACATATTATAACTTCGAATGTTTTAAATTATATTATTGTTTTGAAAAATATTAAAAAATTGGAATAGTAGTGAAAAAATCTGAGCTTTTGGACTATTGGAAACTAAATAATCCTTCAAAATGATTTAAGCGTTTGTTTTCTTGATGACTCTCGCATTCGGGCAATCTCTCAATTTACCTGATACATATTATACGTATGTGCATATAGATTTATTTTTAAAATAGTTGAAATGTTTTCAAACAAATTATAAACAAAACACTGTATTTGATTATTGCTTTATAGATTTGTTCGTTGTTGTTGTTTATAATTTCTGTAGATTTCACACCTTAGGTTTTTGAACTGAGTTTATGGACCACATGTGTAAAAATAAAGAAATTTGTGTATAGCTACGAGTTTTAAAAGTAAGACTTCCCTATGTGTGTCGCAAAGTTAGACATATAAAATTGGTTATTTTCACTACACACATTTTAGCGATCGATCCTTGCGCAAATATTTATTTATTCATACAACTAACATCTGTCAAAAGACTTTCATTTCATATAAGTATTGTAATATTGAATTTATTTTTGTGTGAACAAATTTTCAAACAGGTGGCAATCTTTACTGCAAATAGCTTTTACAGAAATCTCTCTTGAAAATATTATAATGCAATATTAAAATTAACAACATAATTGTATAAACATTTTAAACAGCTGGCAACCTTTTTTGAACCTATTTAGTGTGGTAGCCATACGTATATGTATATATATAGTAGGTTGGAAATGTTATCAGATAGTTTTAATTATTCGATGTAATATTGAATTTATGAAATGCAATATTGGTCAACTATATAAAAATGTAAGAGCAAGCGTAAATTAGTTATAATTCCCAACCAAAAAATGTACTTCAAAACGCCAATGGGATTGAAATTCATATAATAAGGGCTTATATCCACTTGTGGATTTCTAAAAATCTAATTTTTTTTGCTTATGTATCGAATTTTCGCAAATTTGAAGTTGATTCGACTAATAATTTCGGAGATATGAGCATATGTACTTGTAAGAATTATCTATGTTAGTGTAATCGGCTACCAAAACTTTAAACGCGTTTTTTTCTAAACGCTATTTTCAGAGTCGGTGAGGAAAAGTTATCAGAAACGGCTAGACCGATCAACTTTAAGGGGTTAGGGGTAGTCAGAATTTTCAAAAAATTAATTATTTTTTGCCTTTTCGTTAAGTGTAATATCTTGAAAATATTCTCTGAAAATTTTTGAGTTATTCGACAAATAACAAAGAGCGCTCGGGAGCAGGCAGCTAGCGGCAGCTGCAATAAACTTTAAATATGTTTTTCTCAAAACTATTGTTTTCGAACTGGTGACAACTGTAACTGGAAAACCGCTCAGTAGATTTTATTGAAATGTACACAGCTTTTAGAATACATAATAAACTCGGTCCTGAACGAAGGATTTTTTAAGACCAATTAACTGCTGATTTTTTCCAAAAAATCTAGCAAAAAAATTCCTGAGGTCGCCATTTTTTTAATTTTTGAAAAAAAAAGCTTCGATCAGGCCCAGGAGTATCTATTTATAAAACTAACTTTTTTCATCCGATTGATTTTAAATGAATTTCCAAGGACTTATGATTGTCACCGCAAGGACCTTTTTTTTGGAACTGGGTCAACACACAACTTTGAAAATGAAATTTTTTTTTTGAAATTATCGTGACTTCAAGTTGAAACATTGCATAATTATGTCATATTACTACTGTTGTCAAATTACATGATTTAATAGCAAAAAAAAAATTACGGAAAATTCTCATTTTTTCGTTTCTCTGACTACCTCTAACCCCTTAATTTTCACAGATCAGGTGATAATCAAAGGAATGAGATTTTTGATAATAATTTCGTTTTTATAAGTAACTCCGAAGCGTAAAATTTTCGGCACAAAACGAGTGTTTTTTAGGAAGCCATCATTTTGTCAAAAATCAAAACTTTCACTAGTCCTGCGACCATATCCTGGATTGTAATAATTGTTATAATTTTTTTTTTTTGGTTTTTTGTATTTTTAAGAAAAATTAATTTTCGGAGGTCCTATGGCAACAGGTAATAGGTATTCAAAATTTTTCAAAATTAATTACCGATTTTTAAAGGACATTAAATTCTTTAAATATTCAATATGTTCATGTACAAGTATATATCAAATAAAATGCCTCTTCAAAAAAGATCGCCAAAAAAGCGTTTTTTCTGACTTGCAAATGTATAAAACCCTTTAAAGT